TTAGATATCTCAAATCAAAATGGTTGCCTTTCGAACGTGTATTTTATGTCCGCTTCGAAATACACAAGTTCTAAACTTCCTTATTAGAAACAAAATAATTCTATCATGCCATGCTCTACGCTCATTTTAACATAGGTAGGCATTATATTTGTCAATAGTTTATACCTGGCTAACGCTTGGTTTAAAAATTTTAACAAATATAATGCCTACCTACGTTAAAATGAGCATTGAGCATGGCATGAAAGAATTATTTCTTTTTATTAATAAAAGTTGGTTTGCAACATTATAACGTCCAATATCTTCGTCTTCGTCTTCGGCTTCGTAGAACAACCTAATTGGCAATTTAGCCCGTAAAAAATGACAATGAGACAGCTTTCCATCAGAGACCAAATGACGTAAAAGTTAACAAATATAGAACACCGTATGGCATCCAACAATGAGAAACGTCCATACGGCATAGCAAGCTAAAAAAGTCCCCGAAATGAAAACTGTAAAAAAAAACTAATGTGAAAACTAACGATCTAGATTTATGTACAAAATAAAAAACGAAAAACAAATACATGTATGATATATAGCAACAAAAGACAACGACCGATTTACAGGCTCCTGAATTCAGTACTGGCACATACAGAATGCCGGGGTTGAACATGTAATCCCCCCCCCCCCCCCCCGCCCCCACTCCAAAAAAAAAAGCAAGAAAAAAACTGGTATAACAGCACAACATATGAACAAACTATAAAATTCAGTGAGTTGAAAAAGGCTTAACTCATTTGATCACAGAGCCCCTATAGTAGATATGCTATTGGCGGCTGTCTCTTTTTTTCCGTCTTTTATTAAATTTTATGATGGTATACGATATAGTTACATTATATCAGTGGCGGATCCAGGGGGTAGAGGGAGTACGCCCTTTCAAACATTTTTCGCCAAGGTAGTTTAGACACAGTGAAATAGGATAAAAAGAGAAGTCTCTATATAATGATCATACAATTATTGTTGCATGTGCATGTTTTATTTTTTTCAGGATTTGTTGACCATGTCAAACTTCAACTTGAAACGTTGGCGTAAGGTCCGTGCTGAAGCTAGAGCATTGGCTCTTGGTACACGTAGTGAAGATGAAGAAAATGCATCAGTAATTTCAAGTCAAGAAAAACATTCATCAGGAAATGAGAGAGGAGAACATGCATGTAATATTGAGGAAGCAAATGAGCCTTGTACTGATGAGAATACCACTGAAACTGATTCAAGTGATGAATCAGACTTTGGATTTGTGGAGGAAGTCGACACGTCGAATTCGGAGCAAGATATTGGCCATGTTTCTGATACCGAAGAGCCAAGTTTGTCATTGAAGGAAAAAATATAGATTGGTCAACAAAAAATAATTTGACAAGATCTTGTTTAGATGAACTGCTAGTTGTCTTGAAAAGTGAGGGTCTTCAAGTCCCAAAAGATGCTCGCACATTACTACAGATCCCTAAAACTGTTAATTCTGAAGAAAAATGTGGTGGACAGTATATTTATTATGGAATAAAAAATGGAATGATTAAGATTCTTGAAGGCTTGTCTACATGTACTTTAAATAATCTGCAAAACATCTATTTGAATATAAATATTGATGGTGTGCCCTTATCTAAATCATCAGGAAAGCAATTCTGGCCAATTTTATGTAGCTTTGAAAATTTTTCGCCGTTTATTGTTAGCCTGTACTTAGGCAATTCAAAACCCAGTTCATTACATGAGTTTCTTGATGATTTTCTATCTGAACTTGATGAAATAACTAATCAAGGAGTAAGTTTTGAAGACAAAACATTTCAAGTAGAAATGAGAGCATTTATATGTGATGCACCAGCAAGGGCATTTTTGAAACAAATCAAAGGCCACACTGGGTATTTTTCATGCGAAAGGTGTGTGATTAAAGGATTTTGGAAGAATAATCGTGTAACAATGCACTCTTGCGAATTACACGAAAAAAGAACTGACGAATTATTTTCAGCGCAAACTTATGTTAACCATCAGATGAGTATAACACCACTTGTTCAGCATGGCATTCCATGCATATCATCATTTGTCTTAGATTATATGCACCGTGTTTGCCTTGGGGTTGTCAAAAGAATCCTCTGGTTTTTTAAGCAAGGTCCAACTGTGTGCTAACTTTCACATATTCAACTCGATGAACTTTCAAAAAAAATGGTTTCTTACTCCGGTAATTTGCCTTCAGAATTCGCTAGACAACCACGATCATTAGCAGAGCTTGAACGATGGAAAGCAACAGAGTATAAGCAATTTCTATTATACACAGGACCTATTGTGTTGCGAAAAGTTTTGTCTAAGGAACGATATATCCACTTTTTAACTTTGTTTATTGGAATTTCGATTTTATTGGAATCCGATTCTCATAAGAGAACTTCTTACATTAACTATGCATCAAGTTTGTTGTCCTTTTTTGTGAATGAATCAAAAGTACTTTTTGGTGAACAGTTCATTGTGTACAATGTACATAACTTACTCCATCTCGCAGATGATGTAAAACATTTTGATTGTTCAATGAATGAAATTTCTGCTTTCCCATATGAAAACCATTTGCAATCCATCAAGAGGATGGTAAGGAACGCAAAACACCTTATTGCACAGGTTACAAAAAGGCTAGCTGAAAAAGAACGGGCAGGTGTTTCAATTGTAAAGAGTAATACTCAAACCTTCATATACAGGTACATCTCTACTAGACCTAAAACAACTGTTTCCTGTTAAAAAATGAATCATTTGCATTTATTAAGGAACAAAGAGAAACAATAGGCTTTAATGTGATATTTTGCATCCAGACAGAGCACAGAATTTTTTTACAGAGCCATGCAATTCCAAACTTGTCAATATTGTATTTGTGCCAAACAATTGTCATATGTCAAGGAAGCTGATCGACAAGGATGAAATTTACAAAAAGTGTGTTTCACTCCCTGTTGATAATGGAAGGGTTGGCATTCCAATGTTGCATGGACTAGAAAGAAACAACATATAATAAGGTACTGATATCTTTTATGATACTTCTAATCAAGGGTCTTGAATTTTTTATTTCGAGTATTGTTATAATAATATAATTTTTTGTAAAGTTGTGATAAAAATTAGTAGCGCATTTTTATAAGCCCGTCTTAGATCGGAGGTATTATGGTATACTGTTGTCGTCTACTGTCTGTCGTCTACACTTTAGACAGTAACTCAAAAATGCTTTCACCAATTTCCTGAAAACTTATGTAAATTGTTTATAACTATTGATGTAAGCTCCCTTTTGATTATTTATTGATTTCAGATTTTAAGTTTTAGATTTATGCGACTTTATTCATAAAAAAAGATGGAATATCAAGTTTTCATTTATTAAAGCAACTATTTTTATATGCCTACTACAGGCGTGTCATGCGCTCTTGGCATAGCTGTCATTTAAATTGGTATAAAAATACAGGATGGTCCAACATCAGTGATACATGTATGTGTGCATGATGAGCTAACATGTAGTTTGCTAGAGCATGGTATAAAGTTTTTAACTAATATTTAGATGCTATGCTTGTTAAGATCTACAAATAAATATAACATGTACATGATTAGAATTTCATATACAAATAATCTGTCTCTAACCAATATAAATATGAATATTTAAAGGATGTGGTGTCTGGAAGTTTGGAAGGAGGGTCAGAAAGAAGTGGAAGATGTTCTTCCATACATTTGGTGCAAGATAGTGAGGTGAAATGGTCACCAGGAGTAAATGCCAACAAGCATATCAAAGCTACAATGTATGACAAAACCAGCAAATAGCTGGAGAAGTTTTGAGCTGGTTAAAGTGAAATGTAAATCTAATATGTATTACAAACATGTATCTTTATATTTATAGTTTATGTACTGGATAAAGTGTTACATGATAATTTTATGATTGTGCAGATTTAGAATTTACATATATATTGAATATATTGCTCAGCATGTACATTTTGATAGAATCAGCTGGCGATATATATTGTACTAGATTTGTAGTTATATTCGTCTCTTAACAACCTACATGTATAAAACTTTTTGCATTCTCTCAACCTAAGCTTATATGGAATTATTATATCTACACATGTCCATACATTATACATATTTTTCAGCCAGTAAATATGTATGTGAATCTTTTGATTTAACATCAGCAGCGGAAAGCTGCATTGAAGAAGAATATGAGGAAACTGACAAAAGAAAGCAAACCAAAAGGATCTTTAAAGATTTAGTGACGGGTAAAATTATATATTTTATTAACATTAAAATCACAGTTTTTCAAGAATAATTTTATGGGATTGTCAATTGACTGAAACGGTTTTGTATTTTGAATGATTGGCTAACATAGACAAATAGTGAATTTCAAATTTTACAGATGAGACTACAACAAATACCTTCTACATTGATGTAGCAATTTTAAGAAGTTTACATTATTGTTCATGTGAAAAAAACAGTCTATTATAAAGCAGACAATTCAGTCAATACTAGGATTGATTATAAATATATTTTGGAACAGATATATCATGTTAAGGAGGGGTATTTGCAAAAAATGCCAGTCGAGAGAATGTTAAAAAGACGCAAGGCGAGGGAAATTCATTCTCAAGACAGGTATTTTTCGCAAATACCCCTCAAGAACATGCTATATCTGTTTAATTACACCGACTATTAACGTACAAAAACGCATTGATGATCGTGACGTTACAAGCGTCCAGTCGGATAGAGTATTTTTTGGCAAATACCACAGCAGAGAGGGTAAAAAGGCATATCCTTTTGCATATACCCTGGCGGCGTTTAAAAATGAAAGATATTCATTAGATAAAAGTAAATTGTTGACAAATACACTGGCTATCAACCAATCAAAACCCAGGAATCTTAATTAAGGTGTAATTATAATTAAAATTATTTTATAAAAATGTTAAAAGCAAAACAAGTAATGTAATTACACACATAGTTGCAATATAAGAATATACAATCTTCTATTATAAGACATGTCCAAAGAATCTGGAAATGATGAATTAATTGGTTCAAGAAGTAAGACAACTAGTAAAACTGAGTCACATAATGCCTGTAATAGATCCAGCAGTCAGACCAAGACTAGTACAACTAAGTCACAGAATGCCTGTAATAGCTCCAGCAGTCAGACCAAGACTAGTACAACTAAGTCACAGAATGCCTGTAATAGTTCTAGTCAAAAAGGTATAAAAATAAACATTTTTTGAACAAAATAAATCTCAATCTAATTCTGAGCTTAAAGGTGTACTTTTTTTGTATTATAACATGTATAATACAGAATTTTGACAACATCGTTTATAAAATTTAATATAAACTGTAATATATATATTTATTTGTATAAAAAGTCTTATTTTTCTTTGAATCAATCAATCAATTACAATCTCATGTAATTCATCCATTGATTCAACTATTATACATTAGATTACCTTAAGCATTAAGTCCATTTTCTTTGTTTTAGATGATTATCAAATACCGACACCGCCGAGAAAAGCAGCACCAGAAAAAGCACACGAGTCCAGAGAGAGTGGAAGTAAAGTCATGTCAAATTCAAGACAAACTGACAAACCAGACAAGATCAGACAAGATCGATCAAGGTCAAGAGAGAGTGGAAGTTAAGTCATGTCAAATTCAAGACAAACTGACAAACCAGACAAAAACAGACAAGATCGATCAAGGTCAAGAGAGAGAATCAGGTCATGGTCAAGACTGACAGACTATAGCCAAGACAGATCAAGGTCAAGATCTATGTCAAGATAGACAGACAAAGGACAAGGCAGATCAAGATCTATTTCGAGACTGACAGATGAAAGAGGAAACAGGTCAAGATCTATGTCTAAACAATCCGACTATAGACAAGACAGATTAAGATCTCTGTCAAGACGGACAGATGAAAGAAGAAATAGGTCAAGATCTATGTCAAGACGGTCAGACTATAGACGAGACAGGTCCAGATCTCGGTCAAGACAAACACACAAGACACTAACAGGTCACGACAGAAGGACAGTAGACGAGACAGATCACGATCAAGGTCAAGACAGACGGACAATAGACGAGACCGATCACGATCAAGGTCAAGACGAGACAGGTCGGGACAGTCAGACAATAGACGGGACTGCATGACGTCAAGACATAAGGACAGCAGACTACCCAGCTTGACGTCAAGACGGAAATCCAGACAGAGTGACAGCACTCCAGCTAGACTGGATTACGGACAAACCCCATCAGCATCAAGACAGAGAGACGGTAAAAATGCACACAAAAGTTCTGATGGCTTTCCCATGCCTGAGGCCAGTAAGTATGGGTTTGTTTAAATCTATGTTTTAACTCTTAATTAAATATTCATTTGCAGTTTATCTTTAAAATAAAGCTTTTGTTACAGTTCAGTACTGTTCATTCAGTTATGATTTTATCCATCATAAAATTAAATAAAGATTCCTTCTCATCATATATTTCCTTACGGAAAAATCCTTGACACAAGTACTTTTTTATATGACTAAATATATGCTATATTTATGAGAATTTATGATTTAATAATAATCTTTTTTGATAATTTTAGAATTTCAGAGAAAAGTGTTCCAACTCTTATTGGAATTGAGGACAGGGCTTAATGATCTGGCTGGGAGACCTATACAAAATGTAGGTGCAGGTGTATGTCCTTTGCCTGACTTATTAACAACAAAGGCAGACACAGAAGAAGACTTCAACAATATAAATGAATTGTTGAAGAGACCCCAAGAAAAAAAGACCATGGTAAAACTTTAAATATTATATTGTTGTCATAGAATTTAAAGATTTCATTTTAATTATTTAACATAAATAAAAATCCTTTTTAATTAACCAATTGTTAGAAGTGACAATTATTGCTATTTATGTTGATGCAGTGTTTCTTTATAAAAGATACATTGCTAAATTTGTCGTTTCCATAAGTTCTATATATTGCCACTCTATAATGATAAATTTGTATGTAATAACTTATTTATTTTTCAGATAGAACATCTTAAAAGGATAGGGGGCAGTGATTGTAAAGACAATTTACAGAAAATTTTGCGAAGGTAACTTCTATTTTTGTGAAACTTTTATTTTATCAATATCTAAACTAGATTGTAGCATAATGTGCTATTTTACCCTTTTTGTAGAAAACTTGCATAATTATAATATTGAAACATAAACCAGCTTCATGTATTTCTGAATCGACAACTAAATGATATGACGTTTAAATATTCAAAACTGTTATAATCCTGTAATAGTAAAATAAGTTTGTGAATGAAATAACAGTTCTTATGTATTTCATAAAATTTTCTGACTTTTTTCAATTGAAAAATTTGTTGACATTTAAAAAAAAGATTTTCTTCCTTTTTTGACATATATTTATCATTACAGAATAATGTCCAATGAACTCATGGCAAAAAACAACATGAAGGAAAACCGTGGAAAATTAAAGTTTGAATCCACAGAAATATGCAAGGTTATTGTGGGTAGGTAATTTATTTGCTTCTTTAATATTCTTTTAAGCAGTGTCAATACAGTTTGGAATTGCATTGCCATTTTTGTGATTTTGGGTAATTTAAAAAAAATAAAAAATAAAACATGTCTCTGTGCTATTAAAGTTTAAAAAATGAGATTTTTTCAACCCTTGAGCAAGAAATAGACGAATTGGTTTATTTTAAAGCTTTGATTTATTTAATTCATAATTTTTTAAATATAGAGACAAAATATGAAGTTGTTTCTCTCAAGATTATTTTGAATGTTTACTTTATATGTGTCATATGAATGAAAATTGACAAATTCTTGATTTTAACACTGTCTGGTTTCACAAAAAATTATATTTTTTATTCCAGAAACTGCCAAGAATCTGTTTCCAATAACTGAACATAACATTCTTCAGGTGACTGCAGCATACTTGAAGTATGCACCTGACAGAATGGGAGGAGGTGGGCGTAAGAAAAAAGCTGATGCAGCAGCAGGAATAGTAGCGGCCAACAATGCAAATGGAGCGGCCAACAATGCAAAAGGAGCGTCCAATAACGGAAATGGAGATGCCAATAATAGAGATGGAGCTGATGATAGACATTGATGTTTTAAATGTTTAAAAAATCCCATATTAAATATGTAATATGTTTATGATTTTTGATGATTTTTTTTATATATGTATAACATCAGATTGTTGTACAAGGTAGTTGTGGTGACATGTTCACAAGCACTCAACATAAGGTTTCCAGAATTTGATATATAGAACGATTTTCTGATGTTCAAGCACTTATTCAGGACGTTTACTAGTTTGAATTTTGTTTGATTGACCTCTTCTTGACCAACTTAAATACTTTGATCAGTACTTTACTATTTAAGAATGATGTGAAGACATCTTAGCATATTTAAGAGGTTTAATGGTGGTTGTTATTACGTTATATAGACGTTGTACTGACATCTGAGCATATTTAAAGAGGTTTATTGGTGGTGGTTATTACGTTGAATAGACGTTGTACTGACATCTGAGCATATTTAAAGAGGTTTATTGGTGGTGGTTATTACGTTGAATAGACGTTGTACTGACATCTGAGCATATTTAAAGAGGTTTATTGGTGGTGGTTATTACGTTGAATAGACGTTGTACTGACATCTGAGCATATTTAAAGAGGTTTATTGGTGGTGGTTATTACGTTGAATAGACGTTGTACTGACATCTGAGCATATTTAAAGAGGTTTATTGGTGGTTTTTATTACGTTGAATAGACGTTGTACTGACATCTCAGCATATTTAAAGAGGTTTATTGATGGTTGTTATTACGTTGAATAGACGTTGTACTGACATCTGAGCATATTTAAAATGGTTTATTGGTGGTGGTTATTACGTTGAATAGACGTTGTACTGACATCTGAGCATATTTAAAGAGGTTTATTGGTGGTTGTTATTACGTTGAAGACATTGTACTGACATCTGAGCATATTTAAAGAGGTTTATTGGTGGTTGTTATTACGTTGAATAGATGTTGTACTGACATCAGAGTATATTTAAAGAGTTTAAATGAAGGTTGTTTTGTCGTTGGATAGACGTTGAACCGACATTGAACTTTTTACAGGGTTCATTTTGCTGGTAGATCTGATGTTGTAACAACGTTGAACTGATGTTTTAACAACGTTGTACTGGCGTTGTATAGACGTTTATCACGACGTCGGCTGGACGTCAGATTTTGACGTCTATAAAATATCATATACAATCAAAATCTAACGTAGGTGCAACGTCAGGGTCCAACGTCTAAATGACGTATATACAATGTCTAATGTCTGCTGAGATAAATAGTTTTGACTCCACTCCGTAACATTTTCACACTTCTTTAACTCGTTCGACCAATTATAAAATTAACGATACCATTACGAATCCAATCAGAATTAAATGTTGTTCATTTCAAGATGAGATGTTTATCGTATGAAACTAATTAGCTTCGCATCCTGATTCTTAACAACACATAAGTAATTGTCAGATTTAAAAAAACACAGATTGTTCTAGTATACAGTTGAATTTGTTTATCACTTTCAAATTCTATATCTATCCAAAATGCAATTATTGAACAAATAAAGGTTAAGACTATTTTATTAGTATTTTCGGTTTAAACAAAGTCAATTCTCGTGTCATGGGAGAGCTTTTTGATACCAGAACTTTTCTAACAAAATAATGAATTATGATAAGCTACCTTTAGATTATACAAAAATCAACGGTTTAAAAATAAACTTTGTTTAACACTTAGATGTGTAGCAGATACGGATCCAGAATTTTGAAAAAGGGAGGGGCAAACTAGGCAATGTTTGGAGTGGAACATGTGCAAAGTATATACATTAATCATATATGTAGACCCATAAGTGGGCCGGACTCCTGCTCCTCGGGCTCCCTAATACCGCCTCTGTGTAGGCTCTTTTACGAAATGGAATGATTACTAGCATATTCCACTCTACATTTGTGTACAAAATATTTGAAATGTGAAACGATTGCGTATTTTCCTTAACACAAACAATGTTTGGTTTTTAGATATATTTCTATGTAACAAGTGTGGACACAGATCAGTGTGGATAGTATGATTGGATGTTTGACAGTGTTTTATATGACAAAAGGAGTTCTATGTTTTATGTTTTCTATGTATTAACTGTGTTGCACAATGACAACCAACATGAGCATTAGGGGTGTTGTTTATGTAATATTTAGTTTTTTATGTTCAACACGGGCATGGAAGAGATACTAATTGCATTAATTACTAAATGATTATGATAGAATATATATGTTCCACATCTTTGATTTTGGATACATTTTGTAGCTAGGAGAGGAACACATAATAGGTTCATTTTTTTCTTAATGTGATTTTTTATATGGGAGATGGTATCTGAGAACATGTATTTGCTTACTATTTGTATGGTTCTATTTATATTACTTTGTGGGGGATTGTCAGTATCATAAGTAAAAGATTTCGGTTAAATGTGGAAATTGTTTCTCAGTTAAGAAGACATTTAATGTTTTTTAGTAATGACAATGCCTGACGTGATGATTGGGGCTAGATGAGCTAGAAAGTGAATTTCTGTGTTATATATTTTTTATTAATTCTTTGAAAATATCTCCTCCAAAGCTGGTCAAAGCAAAAAAAAGTTTTGACCAGTATGAAAATGATATCAACAAAAGAACCTTTGTGAGCATGCTTCAAAGACTCATAACCAACTACAGAAGTCATATGATAAAATGTCAAGTGGATATTATGAACATCTACTTAATATGTCTAAATATCTAAAAAGTTTTAGTATTCAATATGAAAAATCTATTGCAAAAGTATTCTCTTTTCAGTTTTTTTTTGTTATATGGATACAAATATAAGTGATACCAATACAGTAAGGCAGTTTTGTTAAGGTATGAAAGTGTAGTAATTAACATTTACTGTTAATTCACACAAATTAAGAAATAAACAAATGAATAATTGTTGAACATGTAAAATGAAATATATTTTAGAAATCAATTTGGCCAGATAGGCCTTATAAATTTTGGTCTTTTTCTTAACATACTGAATGACCATTTACACTCAGGACTGAGTCACCAGTAGGCAGTACAGATGTAAAAAAATAAAGTGTAACAAAAGAACCTAGCATCATATTGCTAGTAGCGCCAGTAGCATTGTTTGGTGAATTTGTGCTCTTTTTTTTCAGTTTGGCTAATGGAAAAAAAATGTTTGGTTCAAATCTAAATAAAATGCTTTTATCTCCCTATTACTTACATTGTACATAGAATGGATACTACTTTGACAATTCCTTGTACATGAGAGTTGTCTGTCAAATCTTTATTTCACAAAGAATGAATTGCATAACAATGAACTGAGCTCAAAGCAAAGGACTTTAATAATACACTTTGACAATGAGCTCAATCCAGTGATATACTTTGTACTACAGGTCCTTCATGAACGTCCTACTGGCCAAAACCATATATCACAAACATGCCATACTACATGGTTGGATCAGAAGTCCTGAAAAAGACATGAACTTTATTAACATATTTTAAGTATATACACCGGTTAAAACTTTAACAAATTTGTGGTAAAATCATTCAGTATCTAGCAACTAATCAATCGCTTCATGCACAAATTGATATAGGTTGAGTACCCCTGTGTCAGAAATAAGAACATACCTCCACCTAATTTTAGTTAACTGATGAAGAAACATTCAAAACTGTAAAATGTTATCTAATAGACTAGCTGCAATGAAATCCCAGTTTTCTAAAA